GATCACGATCGAGCCGAATGAGAGGATGGTGTCATTTGACGTCGTCTCACTCTTCACATCCATACCACAGGCCCTTTGCTGTCGAGACGCTCAGTGACCTACTTTGTCAGAATTACGAGGAGGGCGATGGCCAACCCACAGCTCAGGGTCTCATAGAACTCATGGGGCACTGCTTCAAGACATTTTTTACCTTCGAGGGGATCACCTATGAGCAAATTAAAGGCACTCCGATGGGTTCACCAATCTCCGGACTTATTGCCGAGGCCGTTCTGCAATAACTCGAGAAACGACTGCTCGGGGAATACAAACCCAAGTTTTGGGCCCGCTACGTTGATGATACCTTCGTAATTATTGATCAGGATAAAATTAGCTACTATGAAGAACTATTGAACTCAACCATCCCCGACCTACAGTTCACGATGGAAGAAGAAGTGGAGAGGAAACTTACATTTTTGGATGTTCTCATCTGCCGCCAACCAGACGGTAAATTGGTGATGTCAGTCCACAGAAAACCGACGAACACGCTGCAAATGCTCAGTTACAACAGCAACCACTCACTGCAACACAAACGAACCTGTGTACACACGCTATACCGACGGGTGGAAACTTATTGCACCACTCCTGTTGCCAAAATGCTCGAGAAGAAACTCCCCCAAGAACTCTTCAGAGCCAACGGCTATCCGCGAACATTCGTTGAACGGAGCCGAAAGCAACAAAGGATGCGGAATGAAGAACCTATTCAGCCAAAATCGTGGCGGAGCATTCCATACATGATAGGGGTCTCCGAAGCCGTAGCCAGATCCCTCGCGCCGCTCGGAATAGGCATTGCCCGCAGGCCCGACTCAACAATCCGCCGGCAAGCGATGCGGCCAAAAGACCCGATCCGTAAGCAGGAGATGTCGGCTGTTGTCTACCGACTTCAGTACAGCTGCGGAATGTGTAACTACGTTAGGGAACCGGCCGACGGCTGCAAACGCGCATGCACGAGCATAAGTTGGCTGCGCGAAGGTTGGACCCAAAGTCGGAGGTGGCAACCCATGCCGCCCAAACGGGACATGTCTTCAATTTTGACGCCGTTGAAATTGTGGGCCGATGTGATGATCATGCGGCAAGGCAGGTACAAAAAGCCTGGATGTCTACCGACTGTTCTGCCAACCGCTACATCAATTTACCTCCCCCTTATCTGGTTTTACGGACATTCTTGACGGGTGACAGTCACGGCGCGGGGCAATCGGGGCTGCCAATTATCACCGCGGCCGACGAAGATGGGCGGGATTCAGGTCACGGTGACATGCGGGTCGGATGCAGTCACATTGGCGGCAATGGTGGACCAGGCATTGGACAAAGTCCGCCATAAAAGGAAAGCTGTGCGCACGACTGCTCAGTCTCTGAAGATGGGTAGAAGAAATGACTACCCGAAACGTCAGACCTCAAATTCACCTCTCCCGATGAGCACCTCCTCTTCTTTTGATATGCCTCCCGGGAATCGCATTTTCACCACTATTGACCCGATACTTTCGTTTGGGGACCAGGTCGTGCATGTGGCGCGTGCAGAGAAGGTCACCAGACTATGTCAGCCACCTCGCTCATTCCCCGCACTTGTCCAGTGACCGGCTCGGACAGTGGCTGGATCCTGAGAATGCGAAGATAGTGTCGTCGACGACTCAGCACATTTTTCTCACTATAAATAATCTACTATGCTTGAAGATATCACGGTGCGCTAAACGCCGTGGCTTGGAAGGTCACCCACACACTGGAATGCTCGGACCACGCCCAGTGTTATGTGCAGGTGTGGAGCTGCCGACTGGTGGTCTAAGAGTCAGGCTGCAAATGCTCCATCTTAATGTGAAGTTTATGGCACACTTAATCCATGGGAGCCTGGTCGGGTGTGACGGCCTCGCCCACGTTAGCCTACCTGCGTCCTCTCGCACCTCCGGTCTTCTTGACACCGTGCCCAAGTGGGGTGGGGAAGGAAGAAGGAGTGCGGTAGATGCAGTGCAAGTCTACTACCATTATAAACTACATCCCGCACAAGGCACCGTGCCTGCTCCCATCTTGCGGCGAAGCACACGGTGGACATTGTTGGCAACAACGGTCGAACTGTCGTGTGTGTGTGTGTGTGCGCGTTGTGTTGCTGACTGATGGACTGATAATCAGACTGAAATGCCCTTTCGCAATGGCGCTCCCTCTCGCATGTGAGATCCAAGATACTTCGCGCCTGTGTTTAGTCGTGCTGAGAGTGTTTGCGGGGTCAGGTCGTGCACACAGCGCGCGCAGACAGGTTCTCTAACTGTGTTGGCCGCGGCGCCCACATACTGCCTCTAACATCTGACATTCTCGGCCAATGGACTGGCGCCAAGGCGTGGAAAGTGAGCGTGCTATTAACAGTCTCCGCGCATATTCCTCACTATAAACAATCGTGCACGCTCATATCCATCAGGATACACTAAACGTCCCTGATGTCAAATTCACCTTGCAATCCAAAACGGTAAAGTAGATAAAACTATTGTTGCAGCGTTCGCGTCTCATTTCAGCAGATGCATAATCGCGTCTCTAGCTATAACAACTGTTTAATTAATGTCGGTAGATTCAATTGTTTCGCTATATTCCATGGGAATCAGAAAGTCGTCTATAAAAAGTGTTTCAGCTAGAAAACCGCCAGTTTAATTTTAAACATTGCCGACTCATAAAAGCGTAGTCTTTTCCTCAAAATGTATTGCGAACTGCACAAGCATAATCCCTTCAAATAAATCTATACATATACCCTTAATTACCGATATTGGTGGAAGTGTAGTTCCTGAAATACACAGATCCCCCTTGTACGGACCTCCTTTCCATCTGCCTCTGATGATGGACTAAATCATAATTCGGACCGTCGGGCAAAGAAAATTATTGATCGCGTCTTTTTGTTCGGCAGTTTCCTGGCTGCCTCTACAATTGTATCAGCACTGCTGTTTGTTAAATTTTTAAGCATAAGCCCTTGTAATAAAACAGTGCTAGGGGTATTCCCCAGGACCGACTATAAATGCATTTATTCCTAGGTATTGTTCATGTCAACTACTTAGATTGAAATTAAACAAGTTCGCGCAGGTTGGAAATGGCGTTCAATCTATGCCAGCATGATAGCCGAACATAGATGGAATTTAATATCTAGGTTTATAATGATTGCCGAATGGAGAGTTTAGTACAACTCATGCCACCAATTCAATCGCTATACTTACATGGCTGGCGGCCCCCTTATCATTCATGGACGCAAGCTTAGGTATGCTTTTACCAAAACGGACGGATTAAAGTAGACACGTGAACTATTTTCTAAGCACTCGAAAGCGTGAGTGAATTCGCCACGATGTCTCCAACTTCTTGAAGACTTGTACGCGCTTGCATTCTGTCTTATCTGCCGTAATCGGTGGTTGTGAAATCGTCGAATGCTAGCAGAAATTCGAAGTCAGCGATCGTAATTCGTACATGCGTGGACACGTGCAAGGAAAAGCTCGATTTGATTTCCGTCGGCGGTGAAAAGAGCGTACCCATCTCCGTAGATTCACTGAAAGCCAGGCCAGACACGCGAACAAACACTTGGTAAAATTACTTTCGTTTGTGAATTAATCTTGAAAAATCTTTAATTTGGGCGTACATTTTGCGCAATTTCTGCCTGGGAAGGTATATTCGGTCCTCAGTAATCATCTCCACGATGTTGATCTCAGCCAGAAAGTTATTTGTTGGAGAAGCTGCTGACTGTTTACTTTCTACTGTCCACCGCTTATGAAAGGCACTTGGGGACGTCAGTATTTCCGAATACATCTAATGAATGCGGGACATTCGCGATACATTTTAAAGAAACGATGGATTTGGAGGCCACCTTGCTGGAAGTCTGGTTCAAGCGTTTCCTAGCGGCTGCCCCGTAAATTCAACTTTTGGGTTTCTCGGTTGCGCACCCGTTATTCTCATGTCTCTGGAGTAGTTTTCACTGATACCCTGCTTCTCTTTTCAGAGAATTGTTATAGCTTATGTTGGTGGAGAGGAGCTATCAACCCGTAATTTGTTTGTAAGTGACATTGTAATTGGTCGGTCAGATCTTGGCGATATTTTGCCAAAATATTCCCGACTGGCAGATATCAATGGAGGCAGCGAATGTAGTCGCCATGTGAAGCATTACTGAGACAGATAAAGTACGAGTAAGTCGCTGAACCACCCACACTCTTGGGCCTAGTAGACACTGCTTAATTGTGTCCGTCATTCAGCAAATAAAAGTGTACTGTGCCATTCGGAATACCCCAAAAGAAAGAAGTCCTTCATTCAGTATCCTTCATTTAATGTGTAATACTAGGATTGAACATGCTACAAGACTAAGTGGAATGGTTTGGAGGCCGTTGATGCACCCTACTGCAGTGCGTTTTGTTCCGTCCTTGGAGTGGAGAGAGTCAGCGTCTGAGCAAAAAAGTGAGAAGTTATTTTATTGTAAATGAACTCACGCATCCTCATTTCATGTCCTCCGCTCAACATGTCTCTTGTCATTCACAAAGACATTACATTTTGCAAAAACAAACAGATCTTCAGGCTGCAAATCCTGACTGCGCACTAGTCTATGTTTGTTTGTACTGGTAGCGGAACTTGTTAGGACAAAATTCGGGGTATGAAAAGGGCAAATCAGTACAGATCGTAATTCTGAAATGTGATAGTGTGAACGAGGAAGGAGATCGTCTCGCAAGTAATCTGCGGAAGACCCGGATGTCCAGCCACGACATTGAAATCGCCACACTGGGAATACTGATGGACACAATCACAGTGCGCACCGTCCCTCATTGAAAACTAATCCCTCTTCGTTATTGACAATTCTGAAATCCTCTCGACTGTTTGCATTTTAATGTTAAATGTGGATGCAGCATTCTCACTTGCACGTGGTCACCACAGATTATTCAACATTGGAGAATCGTTTTTGATGCAATTAAAATCTTGCTCATGGTTAGTGAAATGGACATTCAATATAGAGTCATTCATTCTTACGTCAGCGTCCCTGAATCGGCGTCATTGCAACCGGCGCGTGATTCCCACTCGCATTTCCCGACAGAGGCGCCGAAACCGGACTCTGGCGCACTGGGACCTACATTGAGAAAGCGGACACGCATTGTCGTTAGGCTTTTAACTAGAGGAAACAGACCTTTCCATCATTTCAGGTAGCACATACCATCGGCCGATGTCGTCACATATCCGGTCGCCGATGGAATACTGTATCCACCCCCCAGACCTTCATCATTGGGCAGCACAAAGGCCCGTATTGTGAACTTGTACTTGGTATTTGGTTGCAGTTGGGTAACCAGTAGCCTGGGAGTGTCACTGTTGGTTTTGATGTCTTTTGCTGAAGCCGGGTCGTCGTTAGGAGCCATGGTGACACTGTAGTGACCAAGAACTCCGTCTATGGTGTTTGGCTTCCACCACTCGATATACACCGACCGAGGACCACGAGCAGTAGCATACTTGTAGATGGGCTGTTCAGTAGCTGGAATAGGAGAAAATGTCGTCCTTCATAGCGCCTGAAAGGAGAAGCGTGTTTCGAAAGCCAGACGCTCTTAATGCGAAAGAATGCAAAATTGTCATTTTTCTTTCCTTCTAACCCTTAAGTTCCCCGTCGATTGATTTCGTCTAGATATGGATATTTCAGATAATGTCTTAGAACAACAAAGCTGCTTCCATGCGACTGTGCTCTCAGGTGTTTTGAAGGGAACACTTCTCTGAAGTTAATATAAGTACAAAACAGCCAAAGAAATGAGGTCGAAACCAGACGCAGGCAATCTGCGTCCGGTAGGCTAATTGGTCAAATGCTGCGTGCCCTAGAACAGTGCCGGATGAGAAACTAATCTAGAAGTGCAGATGATAATTAGAAAACACGAATACCTTTGTACGTATTTGCAAAACAGATGACCGAACTGCTACAAGCCAGAATGCCCTACCTTCTGACATGATGGGTTGATGCACACATTCCTTCTAGCAGCAGAGTTGTAAGTAGAATTGAATTAATTAGTTCAAAACTAGAAGGCAGCTAGATTAATGCGAAACAAGCAGATGTGTGAGTACTCATTGAGGAAGAAGCCCAAGTGGATGATTCCCCATCTTGTTGGTCTACGGAACGAAGACGATGGTGCAAAGCGTACGTTCAGTAAGTAGCATACTCAGAGAATTTGCTAAAATTACAATGTCCATTTTTGTGCAGAACATCGTCAAACTTGAGTGTCAACCACACTAGATTCTGAAATTTGATCGAACGAAGGTCAATAGGCGGTCCCGACTATAACTGCAACGTCGTTGCAGCATCAGTTTCCCCGAGAAAGCCCACGTATGATGGTCCACACATGTTTTAATAGAATAATCCCCTACTATACGGTCCACGTGCGTAGGCGATGACGGTCTTCATTAATGCAATAGACACCCGAACGGTGCAGCGGCAACTCCACAATGCAGGAATCAGAACCGATTTTATGCAATGTAGACAAATTCCGCTTTTCATGAAAACAAACTTGTCGCAAACATAGAAGCTAGGAGAAATGGGCGATGATTCTTATCTACACGACTCCCTCCTGGGAATATGAGATCAAATAAGCTAATATCGAATTCTTGCATAAGCCATATCACGTTCTGTATGAGTGAACAAAACGAAACATGAGCTGTAGGAAAGAACTCACTGCCCGGCCAAGTTCGCACGACGGAAGATCTTGCGGAGGACGTCTTTCCACCGCCTTGACCCCATCTGAATTCTTTCGTAGAGGCGATCACAGCACACTCGTAGGGGTGATTTGGTATTAGGTATGACATCTCAGCGGTGAGTGTTTGGGCATTCACCCGCCGACTGGACCCCGGAATATGATCCCCCAGTTGGTAGCAAGCTGCCAAATACTCCTCCAGAATTCCATTGGTCTTCTGCGGCGGTGACCAGGACACCTTGATCGACCTGGGTCCCGTGCTGACAACTGATGTGATAGTCGGCGGAGAGGGAGCTGCGGAGGTTACGAAAAAAAGGCATCCTGGTAGTCCGTTATCATATTATCTACGTAAGCCAGATGGCAAACCCAACTATACCAGCGCAGACTACTGGTCGGGTGCCTTCACGACAGCTGCACCTAGCCTTTTAGGATTGTGTGTGTGTGTGTGTGTGTCGATTCACTGGCAGAAGGCCTTGATGAGAATCCACTGCACTCGCCACAGTAACCATCAATGAGTACTTTGCAGCGCTTGACGCATTTTTTATGTGAAGTGCAGGACTTTGCCAGGACTCACTTATGCATGACTGATGTCTTCACAAGTTGAAATTGGGGAAAATATTGTGCAATTAAGTTGCATGAAAGAGATTACCAGCTGGCCAAGTTCGCACGTGGCCTGTGTCGATGATTTTGTTCTTGTTACTGTCTTCGTAGACGTAGGTTACGGACGTGCTGTAGTATGTGTAGGGTTCAAGATTCTGCACCTGACCCTGTCTGAGGTCTGCGGAAAGGCGGTTCTCCACGGAAGTTCCAGTGCCGGTAACGGTAGTCGCCTTCAACAAGACGTGTTGCAGTCCCTCGGAGGGTGGTTCAGTCCATTCAAAGGAGAGGGAGGTTTCTGTCACGCGCGTCACGCGAGCCGAAGCAGGTGTGTCTGCATCTGTAGGGATATTTATTAAAAGTGCACTGAACCAGGTGCCATACTAGTTTGGGAAAAAAGGAGTAATGATTTGGAGTACATGGGCAGTCAGTTGATTGCCATACTCTATATGTAAAATAGCTCATATATCTGGAATATTAGACGGCGTTTTTCTAGTAACAGCAAGAGGGAAGTTCTGTAGATTCAAGTAGGAATGAACATTGGACATTTTCTGCAAAAATTTATGACTTGATAGTTTTGATACCGTGTCCCTGACTCCTTAAATATACCCAAGCACTGCAGCAGTAGCAGTAGATGCAGTGGTACAGGTGACAGCAGTAGTAGTCTAGGTACGAATGTCGAGTTGGTCCTGCAATTATGCGGTGACATAATCTCCTTACAAGTCAGCATTTAGCGAATTATTTTGCCAAACATGTTTTGGTTGTATTTCAAGTTCATACACCCTAATCATGAGTGAGTGAGGTTCACTGGCAGAAGATGAGGTCACGTCTTTGAAGTACCAAATCTGTAGTTTGGTCTACGAGGTACAAGGCTGAATATTCGAACAAGTGGATGTATTCAAATGAGAAACCTGCAGAAATGCCTTCATGGACTATCGCGGCAAGCGTTTAGTTAAAGTTTATCATGCGGCATTTAGTGGGTACAATCACAAACCAACAACATAGTTGAGAGCTGGGTCGGACGACAGATTCAGATGTGGAGGGTCAGGCAGGAAGATTTTGTTCAAAAGGCTGCCGGTGCCACAAAATGGATACGATTTGCAGATGGGTATTGGTCCTTCGACCTTTCTAGAATTGTGACCTCTGGGGTCTAAGTCTCATTGAAACTAGATGTGGCATTGAAAGATGCAGAAATACGTACTCACTAATTAGAATTACGGACATTCCCGTCAATTGTGACATAAGAAAATCAGCACCCGACAAATATTCCCGACAGAAACTGACAGTTCACCCGACCCGTTTAGGTATCCGAGAACTCGGGTTCGGACCCCAAGTCTGCATTGCTGACGGACGACGCCTAATACGCCAGAACTTGCCATCCTCATCTTCTTGCATTTTGTCCGTAATCCCCTCCCCTTTGTCTACACATGCCACTAGTCATCATGCGACTGCCCACTGGGCTATAAGACCATACGGAACTAGCACATCTCGTATCCCGATCAGTGATCACCCCCTACCACACAGACGTATATCCATGCAGAAACAGAAGTCCATGAGTTCATTGCCCTCTCGAAAAGCATAATAAGCTGGTTATTCTAGTGGTTGTGGGAAAGTTCCATAGATATTATTTCTGTGACTAGAGTCAGGTACCGAAGTAGAATGGGATTTGTTTGTTTCATTAATTGATGATGACGTATAACAAAATAGTGCAAGCATTAAAAACGCCTGTCAGCTGTTTGAAAATGTCTATGGATTATCTGCAGTGAAGGTGATTTGCCAAACTTAGAAGATCAAACTGGATAAGGAATGAAGACGTTAATACACATGGTAAGGGCAAAATAAATTTACCTTCATACCTTATGCGGTAAGAAGTTTAAATAGCCGGGTGATATGAAAAAGCAATGCTCTTCCTTTAACAATTATTGAGCAACCACATTTAAATGCAAACTGCTGCCGGTGGAAAAGAATGAATGAACACAACACATTATGTGTGCGTTGCAATCCCCCTGAAAGGCGCACGAGGATGGCTAGCAACATGCTTGCCGAAAAGGTCACAAACTGGCTTGTTAAAATCAATCTTACGTTTCGAGGTAACATTTCTGCTCGAGCGCAGACCCAAGACTTTTAATGGATGCTTTGCTTCATATCGCAAACAATGTCGAGTAGTTATTAGATGAATACCACACTGCCGACAATCTAAGCCCGCTGATTTTCTGCTGTTGAGCACACAGTTGGCTGAAGGGCTACATCCTACCGAAGATAACGAGACTGAACATGCAATTGCGCAGCCAAGGGGAATCCCTGGACCATGCCCAGCTGGTTACCGCGTGTTTCCCCACCAAACAGAAGTCACTAACAGAAAACGCACAGATATCATCAAAAGCAGCGGTTGGTAATGTACTGAGCTCAAAGAACAAAGCAAATTACTAAATTGAAAACGAGATCTCACCCAGGCAGGACGAGCTGGACAAAAACAGCAGCAGCGAAATCAGCGGCAAGACTGCTGATCGCATATTTTCTTGAAGACTACAGTTCCCTCTCAACTCCCTTTATAGTTTAAATACAGCCACCTACGTCTATCAATCCCACCTTTCGGGGAGTCTGACTGTGGTGTCGGCAATGGCGAAAACACACTCTTGTCTCAACCGATCAAGCTTAACTGTTTCGATGTGTGGGGGGGGGCAGGAGTTTGCATTACATAACAGACAGGGGACTGCGTTGGCGGTAGATGATTCTTCCAGCGACCGTTGCAAGAACACAGCAGACCATGCCCCTTCAAGCAGTGTGTTTATGTCCTCTCAATAGAAACCTGTCTGTCAAAACGACTCTGCAGGAAAAGTCAAGGAGGAAGATGGTACGCAGGCGACTGAACGCGATTTTTTTTCTTGTGCTTGCCAAAACCATTGCTGTCGTATTAAGCGATTTTCGCTCACGCTGGCTACGCTCTACCTTTCAAATGCATTGTCGATAAGACTTAATAGCTGGTCTATACTAATCATCATTGCAGCGTTTGAATACTACTCACGGTAACCCGCTCCTAAAGCCTGAGTACCTTTCCTGGTCAGTAATAGAATTGGAAGAGTACCTTAATTGCTAACCTTTGAGCATGCCGCATAGATACTTCGTGCATCATTTGTGTCAAATATCACCGATTTTTATATCAAAAGAAGCTAGATGTTAAATTGCAAACCAGAATGTCTAGCCCGTGGCTCACAAGAACCAATATTTTGCCGTGTGGGATTTATAGGCTGTTTGGTAGTGATTACTCATTTGCTCATATCAATTTAGTGTATTTTAGAAGGTGGATGTCGAAAGAAATGAGAGCTGTGTAAGTATACACTGTCCTTAAATTTAAAGCCCTCACAGATGCACTTTGCCGCCCACTTTGAGAATGTGCTAACGATGCAAATAAACAAAATACTTCGACTGCCGAGAATATTATTTAACGACTAATTGGTGGATGTTCTTTTTCTACTGAAACATGTCTGGCCTACCACATGCCGTAGGTGGGCTAACTCATGAAATGTCAACCGAAATTTGGAAATGCCTTTTCGTTTTGAAAAAATTAATTAAGTAGGACTGATCTTTATCAAGCATAATACTGTAAAAACGACTACTTAATTAGCGTGGATTTATCTCATTGTTTTTCGACGCCCTTGAAAGTCCAAATATATTCCATAGAAAACATGCATGAAAATATTAATTCTTTTGCTCATTCTGTAGTAAATTACGTCATTTTCCAATTTTATACCCAAACGAAGGTATAATTCGGTTTTTAAAAAGTTTTCTAATATCCGAATAATTTTGAGCCCGACATGCCGTTACACCTGCATTCGGGTTTTACAGACTACAAACCGTATACGTTCCGCGTACGGAAAATCATACATATATTTACGGCATCAAAAGCAGGCTATATGGAGTTAATAAAATTTAGCTGTGGATTTGAGCCGCATTATTAAATTTACACACCTCATTGGTAAATGCAAAGGCATGACGTTTCATGAACGCCCATTTCACGGTATTAAAAAATCTCACAATAGTAAACTTTTTTAAAACCGAATTATACCCCTTATTTGAATATAGAATTGAAAGAAGACGTAATGTCCTACAGAATGAGCAAAAGAATGAACATTTTAAGGGCATCAAAAATCAATGAGAAAAATTCATGCTACATAAGTAATCTTTTTTTACAAAGTATAGTTTCTGCATGCAGCCAAAAGGTAGTTCATTTGAAAGCCGACATCTTGAGGTAACTGAATTATTATAGAATTGTGTTGCAGACTGACAATTTTTAACAACCCTACCTAATTAATCTTTTCGAAATGAAAATGCATTTCCAAATTTCGGTTGAGATTTCAAGAGTTAGTCCACCTTATGTAGGTACGATTGCTACATTGAATATCATTGAATGTTCTTCGAAAATTTGGCCAGTACACGGGACACTCTCGACTTGTTGCTGTTTGTCGCAGAATACAGAGCCCTAGTGTGCAGCCGTCTAGAGAAATGGGATTGTGCAAAAGGTAGATTATTCACAAAGACAGCCTCAATCAGCCTTTCCCAAGGTCGAATTCCCTTTCTCCATTTCACCATAACCGTCATGCGCTAGTTATGCAATCCGCAGGGAGTCCAGTTTGTGCCCCTATGTAGCCGGCAGCTGCAAATCGTGTCTTAGGCGTGGATAGTTCCATCCTTTGAGTTGCCTTGGCCCAAGCAAGGAAACTGTCTCCGAGTCTGATAGAATGTAGGGAGTGGTCCAGCAGACTTTGATCACTGCCCCACATGCCATTGTCCGTCTGCCTTGCTACTTCTTGGCTTGATAAAGTGCCTTCGGTATCCGTCGAGAGGTAATCCATGTGTACTTTGACTAAATACCCAGCACCATTGCCTTGTACCGTGAGTCCGTAACTCTACACCTTGTCCTGATCACTTAAATACGTAACACGCTGTTTATAGCGGAAACTTGAGTGCCGAATTTAGGATGGTTAGTCCAGTTTGTAGTGGAAAGTTGAACGCAGAATTTAGGCCAGTCTAGCGGATCACTGATACTACTGAAGTTGCGTCATCGGGCAAAACAGCGATGAAGCTTTACGAGATGACGGCATTGGTAAACTTGATTGCGTTTTCAGGATCTACTTAGATATTTCCCTACATGCTTTCATACAGTAGATGTGCCTTGGGTGTCCATCGAGGGGTAGTCTATGGGCATACAGACTAAGTACCCAGCGCGATTGTCTTGTACTCACTGTCGGTAGTTTTTCAGTTTCAGTAAGAGCGTAACACTTTGTTTTTGGTAACAACCTGAACGCTGGATTTAGCCTGGTCCGTCCTTACACAGCATCCTTTCCCAATAAAACGGGTTGCGGACACTACTGCAGATGAATCATCGGAGAAAATAGTGATGGTGCTTTACAAGATGATGGGATCGGTAAAGATGACTATTTTCAAGGACTGCTTAACAAATGACTTCCAATTTCCATACATGCTCATTCCCAGTAGACGTGCCATCTCATGAAATGTTAACAGCAGTTCTAGAACGTGTCTTCCATTCAAAAAAGATTACCAAATTGGGTTTGTAATATGGATAATCCTGCAGCACATTCTTGGGATATTTTGCCCACACCAGGATGCTGGCTTTCAAACGAGCTCCTCGTCTACTCCCTGCACCAACTACATTTTGCAAAAACGACTACTCATTTAGAATGAACTTTCCCCATCGATTTTAGACAATATCATAAATTCGAATGCACTATAGAGAAAACTTGAACAAAATATTCTTTCTTCTATTCATTTGGTAGAAAATCACGTCTTACTTAAAGTTTATATTTGAAAAAGAGTATCATTCGTTTGTAAGAAACTTCTTTAATTCCCGAACAATTCTGAGGCTGACTGGCCGTTCGACTTGCATCTAGAGTTTCCAAACTACCAGCTTTATATGCTTTCTGTGTAAGGGGGATCAAATATTTGTTTTCGCTTTTGAGAAGATGCAGCATAGGGGCTTATAGAATCTCCTTGATGGATGTAGACCACGCTGTCCAAGGTATAATCTGCATTAACAAATGCACTGAGATGGTGCTGTATGACTGGCACTTCATAGTCTTTACAACTCTCGTAATCGGAAACTTTTAAACCGGTAAATACACTTTTTCAAGAACAATATTTAAAGAGGACGCAATTTACTACAAAGTGAGTAGGGGAAAGAATAGTATTTGATGCGTCTCCCATACACTGTATTTAAGTCTTTAATGGACGTCAAAGATTAATGAAAAATATCATGCTACTGAAGCAGTCATTCATTGCAGACAGTAGTTTGTGCAAGCTGTCAATAAGAAGCTCATGCAAAAACCCGAATCCTGTCGTGACTGCAGTATCTAGACATTGCACGACATGTTATTAACTTAACAGCCCTACTTAAGTAATCTTTTCGGATCAAAACCCCACATTAGGACTTCGATTGACATTTCATGCGATAGAACATCTACTGTACTAGAGCATTCTGAGTGCCTACTGTCCGCTGGCAACAGTTTAACGTAGATGTGGTCCCCGTGCGAAATCAGCTCAGCCGCATCAAACGCTGCCTCGAGATAGCGTATTATATGATTTTCGAAATAGTGGGTCAAACGCTCATTTCTAAGCTGAAGCTTCTTCCTAATTAGGGATACGACAGTTCCATAAGATACAAATAACCCCAAAAATAACATATCCTTGTTGAGATAAATAAAGTGCTCACCATATCAGGGGAATTGTATTGCGAAAACGAAAGAACTTAAGATTAAGCCAACTATGTTTTTTTGAAAAGTAAAACCTCAGGCAGCACGAAGCATCTGGAGGATATTTGTCCCGTTCTCATTTTTATTCCGATAAAAAGAACATCGTTTATAGGACCCCATGCGATGCCGTATATTGCGGCCAAACGGGAAAATTCGCCTCCAAACGCATCCACAAACATAAACTGGCAGTTACGAGGCGAGACCACATGTCTCAAATGAACATGCACACCTTTCATACTGGACACACTTTCGTATGGGACAAAACTCGCATCGTCGGAGTTTGCCCATCGGAGAAGGGCGAGAGTTTCTTAAAAACATGCACACCTATGAGTGATGCATTAATGGACACACCGAGCTAGATGTCACGGACAAAAATATCTGAGAAAAGTGGAAAGTCAATCGATACAGACTGACGCACACGGCGGAGGCTTGCTGGCTGAAACACCAAATGAATATTGATTTCTCAGCATGTTTGAAAAGGTAAGTGTTTTTTGCACATTTACTAGAGTCTGACGACGACACGAGAACCGACGTAAAAAACTACTTAACAAAATATTCTTCTTTTCTCCTAAAACGTTTTTGTCTTCAAGTTATACTTCGTGGGATGCCTACGGCCCAATATATACACGTATCTATATATGATGCATTGAAACAACTGCCGACTTTGAGAGCAGGCAGTGTATACAGTCGGGAGACCTCGTAATTTAGCTTATTGAAATCAGCTATCGTGAATTATAGCATATGCT